TAAAAAAGGATTTTATAATTTACAATGAATGTAAAATTTATGTTATTTATATATATCAATTATTTTAGTAAGGAGAAAAAAATATTAATGTAAATTCTTTCCTGATTGACTATAAAAATAACTAGTGTGCTCACGAATACCTCAAATTAATCTTTTTTTTCTTCGATTTATAGATGTTTTCTTTAAAGAATAATCAAAAATTCAAATTATAGAGGATTTTAAAAAGGTTCGAGTTAGAGAAATTCGATTGCATATAATTGGTTAAATTGGATATAAAATCTACCTTATTTTTAGATCTGTAGCCAACGACGAAGCTAGAAACTTTGCTTCGGTGTAGCCCTTATAATTACATAATAACATGAAACATGTAGATGTCTCGTGACATGATATGGATGTTTGAAAGTCAGTAAACGTTCTGATTAACTCTTCGGATATTTGTCTTATCAGTGTGAGATTATATTTTGCCACTTTGAACGTTTGTATTCTCACGTTCGGGATTTGCGGTAAAAATGCACATACCATGTTATAAAATGTTTCTTGTTCTATCTCTCTATTATCCATAATAATGCCAGTAGTGAACAACATTATAACTTCACAATGTTTAGGTAGACAAGGCTGTAAGAGATCTTAAAGAAATAAAAGATCAATTTCAATATATCCATATTATTCTACAATAGCAGCAAATAAAAAACAAGATATCATTAAAATTACAACAAAAACATTCAAAAAAATAATTCATTATGGAGTGCAGTAAAATATATTTTTACTTATTGTTGTTGATAAAATCTTATTCATCTGTTTATCTCTTTATAAGATATTCATTATTCAGATACCTTTATATGTCAATAAATAAGAATTTATTTTCATAAAACTTTAAGATTTTATATTTATGAAACTTCATGATTTGTACCTATAGTTGTTAAAAAAAATAAAGTATGAAGTATACCTCTTATATTACATGGTGTGTCTCTAGAAAGAAAAAAGAAACCTGCTGATGGTTTAACTCTCATATCTCTTATAAAATTAAGATCTAAGAGTTGCGCTTTATTAGCTATAGACGTTTGTATAAAACAACAAGGGCCTCTTGTACTCTTCTCATTATTTGCAGCTTCTAACCAGGACCTGAAAAGAAATATTCCATATTCAAATTTAGACTGCACTTTTCAATTTACAATTCTCGTTTGCACTGTATTCCAGTACAAAAAACAATCGTGTTAAATATTATCATATATTAATTAACTATCATATATTAATTAATATATATTAATTGAACTTAATTGAACTTTGAAAAGATCTGACATTAAACGCTGTGAAAAGATTTATGTTTGTAAATCATATTCATGTTTATTTATTCAATATACATGCAGAAACCATAACCCTTCAGATCGAATTGACATTCACGAGTAAAATCGAGTGCGGATTATTAATGAATCATAGACGCATTATACCTGCAAACCATCGCGGCATTTGTCAGGTCTCTGACATTTAGGTATTGAAAGATAATTCTCAGAATATCATAGGTTAGATAGGTCCAATTCGAGTCCAATGTATTCTCGCAGCTTTGCGACGCATCATTATTTTTGGGTAGGGCTGGTGTTTCCTTTCGAGCTATCTTTCGCGCTGGACCCTCCATCCGTCTTTTACAAATTAAATTCGCATCAAATCGGAACTTGTACACAGTATCATAACACAATGGTATACACCGTACAACATACACCACCGAAAGTGGCAAGAGTCAACGTACCCATGATGCAAGTAGGCATGAACGTACCCGTAAACACAAGCATGATGTGTCTCCCTATATATATATATGTATATGTGAATGTGTAGTATATGCATGTGTAACATAGGCTGATCAGCAGTTTTAATTTTTTTTTGTTTTTAAGCATTTATTTTATGCTTTTTCATGTGTTTTGTATCTAAATCCTTGAATAATCAACAGGTACGTTTATTGACGATTATTGGAAAAAACGAAAACTGCTTCAATCGAATTATATTGACATTTCACAATGACATAAATCGAATGTATACTCGGACCTATAATTACCTAGAAAATAAATATACTGCAACATATATATATATATATATATATATATATATGCATATTCATATACGCTAACGTCGTGTTTATCTCGACATGGTAGGTCTCAACCTAATGTTTATATTGACTAGTCCTTTCTTTATTAAAATTTAAAGAAAATATTACATGTACATTTTTTTAAAAGTATACAAAAGTTTATTAAGATTAAAGCATTTATGAATTTTACAGAATTTGTTAAATAGTTACGTTGTGTCACTCGCTCAAGATAATAATCATCCAGCGAAATATACTCGAATAGAAAGTTAAATTATGTTTGGCATCGTTATAATACCTGGTTGAATATACGATATCGACGCTGAAATAAGCGCTAATATTATTTGAGAACCTTTCGCATCCTGTTGTAGGCGATTCAATTCAACAGGTTGTAGAATTGAGTCTTCTTTTCTACAAGTTAATCAAATTATTATCATTATATATGTACGCAGAAACACATATACATCTTTCTTATTTAACAGATAATACCTTACAACTACCAGACTGTATAATGGTTGACCAGGATTCGCCTTTTTATAATGTTGATTACAGGAGTACACATTGTACGATATCTTATATCTGTTTTTTTCCTTCTGACGGTTCTTTCCGGCGCTGATTTTATTATAGCGAGCCTTTTGAAAATTTCTGCCAGCGAGGAGGCATTTCTCGGCCCAACCAAGGGATTGAGTAACTTCACGGTTTGTATTTCAGCGCAGTCTTCCTCATTTATGTTTTTATGATCTTCATCATCAATTGTGATGGTCTTTTCTTCGGACCACCTTTTCTTCAGTTCCGTCCACGAATTAGCGCCTAGACGTGTTGTAAAGGAAGGTCGATTAACGATCTCGTGACTGACTAGACTATTAGCATCGTCGTGCGATCGTCTTGCGACGGGACGCGCGCTGCCATGCATCGATGTATTTTCCGTCATTCTCCGCTGACAGAATCTCTGCTGCCACGAAACATTCTGATAAAAACCATGCCGTAATTGATTCTCCGCAAAGACATGTCTCATTCGATATCCCTCCATGATTGGTATCATGAAATTATTCATTTGTATGGTAAGACTTCTTTGATGAACATTTCCATGATTCCCGAAGGCAACGATTAGATTATGAAATACATTTTGCGTAATCCTATTCTGCATATAAATATCTGGAACGTAATTGAACGGAAACCTATACGCGTAAGGCAAGCCAATATTTGTTCCATGATTTAAAGGATGGATTTGGTTTAAAGGATGAAACGATCGCGACGGAGCACCCAAGAGTGAACGTTGATTTTGAAAGAGAGTGTTTCTGTTAACGATAGAAGAATTTTTATAGTGAGACGTATTTTGTCTTACATTAGTTCTAATATCTTTGCAATTCTGTCGCGCGCGTTTGTCTTTCTCCTGCATGTTTAAAAACATCATCCGATTATACTGATACATGCTCTTCTGAGGTTTTATATTCTGTGGTATATATCGCTTGGAAATTTTCTCGGTAATTTCCGACTGAAAGGCAATATTTGGTAACAGATTCAACATTTCCATTCTTGTCATACAGCGTGGCAATTCCTGAATTTCATCATCGGATAGCTCAATCACCTGATTCAAGAGAGAAAAAATTATTTTTAGCAAATAATTTTACAATGCATTATGTATATTTAAGAGTATCTTACTTCATGCTTCGATTTTTTCGTACGCGGCGTCTCATCAATTTGCATCGACGTTATTCGTTTTTCTATATTTCTGGGATTTTCATTCGTGACATTGGAATCGATTATAGAAATTTCCGGAGGTGATACTTTATCATTTCTTTTAGGCAACTGCTTAACATTACGCTGAATGCGAGTACCTGGCCACTTCGATACTTTAAAAACTTCCTTCGTTGAATTACACGATGCATCTCTGAGAATTGTAATATTACCTAACAAAGTCTCGTCGGAAATTATTTCCGGTTTAGAATTTCGAGTCTTTTCTTCGCTATTTGTATCATTCTGTGTTATATTGTTTTGTACTACTCGCGAAGTAGTTGATTTATTTACATTTTCATGACTTTCTATATTACATAGAATTTGTTCTACTACATCGTGTACTGTATGTTTTACAGTTTCCTCTACAGTAGTTTCTTTATGCTCTTTCATGTTAGAACTGACTGCAGGTATATCCTCTAACATATCCTTTACTAAAGCTGTTTTTGATTTCTTTTCATTTGGCTGATTCTGCGATTGGTTGTCGGACATTCTCAATCCATTCTCAGGATCAACAATAATTTTTCGTTTAATTGGAACGGGCTCGTCTGATTTACACTTATCTGATTCTTCGTAGAAGTAACGTTGTATATGGTAGCCATAATGTGTTAATTGACTATAAACCCTATATTCTTCCATGGTGCATATTGAATCATCAATTAAGATCTTGTATGCTTGCTCAATTGAACATGATATCCCATTCCAAATGAGTTCAAGAGAATTCTGTAACAGATATGAGAAGATATCAAACTCTGAGGCAGTGAGTAACTCTCTATAAAATTATTAAAAAATACAATGTTCTATAAATTATGAGAAACATACTGCTTCTATAAGAAATAATGCTTCTTCTGGTAATAAGTATAAAGAACCATTCTTTTCTGAGCCAAAATTGCTCCAATCCTGACCAGATTTCTTAGTAACAAGAGCTCTCTTTTGAGATGAAATCCATTCGGCACTGGCTAATTCTGAGATACGTTCAACTCTCTCGATATGTAACAAGTCCTTTTGATTTTTAATTCCCTTTTCAATCTGAACATTTTGTAGCCAAGAATTATCAGGCTCAAAGTGCTTGTTTCCAATTTTGGGTAGAATTTCCTCAGATCTTTCCCATTCCTTCAATACACAATTACTAATACCCTTGTTACGTAGCATTTCTTTGGCTCTGTTTTTAAAAAAAAATATAAATTTCTGTTTGATTGACTAATGTCCATACTAATGTAAATTAACTTGAATCTCAGTTTAACTTGCTATCTTTTTTAATTCTAAGAATTTTTTTTTAATTCTTAGAATTAAAAAAAATAAAAAGTAGATTAAACCCAGATTAAAATTAATTCACTTTGATAGAAATGGATCTTAGTAAGCTTGATTAACTAACTCCTTTACGATAAACTTGTACAAAAATATTGTAAATTACTGCAGACTCACGTTAACGTATTGCACGGTAATTTTCCAAGTGGTTTATCCATCGTATCTATTGTAATTAAATATTTACAGGGAGCAGAGCTGTGGAATACATGAAACCCGATGCGGGATATGCATATTGAAATTCTCTCCCGTTGTTATTCAAAAATTGTACGCAGTGCTCAAATAACAGAAGCCATACCGGTGAATTGCAACAAGATCAATGTCAATTTGCGTCACCCTATACACCATGATAGTTCGTACATATTAATTCTTGATGTTTGTCCTTTGTAGCTGACCTCTTTGTACCTTTTTATCCTTGCTCCTTTTCTCTTCGATGTCGAATTATATATTCGTTTCATCTCAAAAGTGTAAAAAGTGCAATCTAGTGCAGCTACAAAGAATACTCCCATCTTACTGTTTGTTCTTTGTAGCTGAACTTTTTCCACTTTTTCGCCCTCTCTTTCTTTTTTTTTCCGACACGAGATATATCTGTCTCATTTTGAGTGCAAAAAAATGTATCACAATGTAGCTACAAAGAACACGAAGAAGGTTTGATTCTAGGAAAAACTAGAGACTGTCTAATAAGAATCATGACACGATGCAGATATTTCTGATTGGTCCGCCATTTTTAACAATTCCTGTCTATATTCTAATACCTATATTTGCGTTAATTTTTTTAATTTAAATAATACAATTAGAAAACAAACATTTTAAAGATATTAATGAATAGATTTTTTACATTATATCACAAATAATGCATAACTAATAAAATTATACATGATTAATATTTTTTTTTTTAGCAAAATGTTTAAAATTCAAGTATATGGAAAAGAAATAAATATAACTTTTTGTTTTTGAAATTTATTTCAAAATATACTATGCATAGACTTAGATATTTCATATTTATTAGATATTTATTAGATATTTTTTATATATTTTTTGGTAATATTTTTCTTTTATAAGAAATTTTTAAATATGACAAAGTTTGTGATTTATGTAATTTGTCACAATCTAAGATATCCAATCATTTTTTAATAATTTTTTAGCCTTATACTTTTTCTGTTGCATTCAAAGTTTACGTTTAAGTTAGATGGTGAAGATAAAGAGAGACGCCATATGTATCTCTCTTTCTCGTGTGATAAAATGATTTCACGTTTTGATGAAAACTAGAGATCTTAGAAGGAAAAGTCCCTAAGTAGAGTCTCTTTGTGACTCTTATTAGAGAGAGGGAAATCTAGGGAAATCAACAGTGCGAGCAACGGCGTTTTTAACTCAATTCCGTGTCCCCGCGCGTCTCTCGTCCGCGACAAAACAGAAATTCGAAAGAGGAGCCACTCCTCTCGCCGAATCACCACGCGATGCGCACAAGTGACCCGCTCCACGGCTTCCTCTGAATATCCTCGTTCGTAGGCGCGCGCGATACTCGCGGTGATGCTAGTCGCACGCAATACTCGCTGACACGAGTGTGTGGATTCGACTTGACCAGGAAATCACACTCCCAAGGTGAGTCGCCGATGACACGCAATCCGAGGAATGCACGTTGGGCGTTGACCGCGCCGCCGTTGCCTAACCCCGCGAGGGGTTTGAGATTTCATCCTCGACGCGTCTTTCCGCGAAATTTTCGATGCGTCGAAGGCGGGGATTGTAAACCGACGGTACCGATCTGATTCTACGCAGATACTTGACCGCGCCCAACAGTATGCACTTGTCAATGCGGGACCGTTGATGGTTGTATATGTCGAAAATTGTGTTTGTGTTTATATGATGGACCGTCATAGACGTCAATTGCTGCTTTCGCGTTAATCAAGTTGATCCTTATAATCAAAAATATAGTGTGTTATTCAGATTTTTGAATACACATCGCAGCGTGAAAGATTACTTTGGGATAATATTTTTGAATGTTTTTATGGAATACAAACAAATAACGAGAAGTGTGTTTCAGACAAAGATGTTAGTCTGGATTTTCTTATTGTTCCTGGCTTCTGGAAATGGTCAATTTACTCAGGAATCGACAGAATCCACATCTAAACTTCCATGGAATCGTTATGAGGATCAGTGGGATCAGAATGCAGGTTTTGGATTCCGGAATCCTTCAGGTCAAAACGAAAATGTTATAATTAAGGAATCGTGAGTATTATCATATTACCTGACAAAATAGATTATGGGAATGAGAAACCATCGAATGACTCAATCAATATTTTTATTATTTATTTACAGCACATATTTTGTAGTTGCATCTCGTATGGTTAGACCAGATCAAGTATATCGAGTTGCCGTGAACATTCTTCATAGCCCATTGCCTATGATGGTACGTTCGTCCATTCAACGAAATGGCATAGAAATAGCGGCCGATTATCAAGAAGTGAAAGAAGGTATACCTGAAACTTTAATGATGCGCATGCCACCTACTTCTGTGGGTGGTGATTACAAGTTACGGGTGGAAGGAATGTACAACAGTCTGAAAGGTGGCCAAGCCTTCTTAAACGAAACCAAATTAATATTCTCACAACGCTCTATGACTATTTTTATACAATTAGACAAACCTATGTACATGCAAGGTGAAACAGTACGGTTCAGAACAATTCCAATCGATACGGAATTGAAGGCCTATAACAATCCCGTGGATGTATATATGTTAGATCCAAACAGGAGAATTATGAGGAGATGGTTAAGTAGACAGAGCAATTTGGGCACAGTATCGTTATCATATCAGCTATCAGATCAACCGGTTTTCGGGGAATGGATCGTGCAAGTAATAGCGCAGAATCAAGTGGAGGAAAAGACATTCCTTGTGGAAGAATACTATCAAACACGATTCGAAGTTAACGTCACGATGCCAGCGTTTTTTTTTGACAACGATCCCTATATTTACGGTATAGTTCAAGCGAATTACACTTCGGGCGCACCAGTGAGAGGTAATTTGACTCTAAAAGCTAGCTTCAAACCACTGGATAGAACACGTAGTTCCTCAATGGCGATCGATCCGATTGAGAGGTACTTCAACTTCAACGAGTATTATCCGGCATGGTTTAGACCACTCAATTTATACGAGGAGAGAACACCAGTGCTAAGGTTCTTTAACGGAACGTATCACTTTCAATATCCCATGCAGGAATTATTGGGCTTCGCTCCGTCGATCGACGGAATGGAAGTTACCGTGGTTGCAACGGTAGGCGAGAGATTCCTGGACGAAGTGATCGTCGGTTACTCTACGGCGAGGATTTTCAATTCCACCACGAAAATTCGTTTCCTTGGCGGTAGTCCGCAGGTTTTCAAGCCGGCGATGCCATTCACGTTGAATCTCGTCGCATCCTTCCACGACAATTCGCCGCTACGACCCACGCAACTTAGGGATACTATGATGGAGATCCGCGCGGACATCGAAATGCGAAGCGGCGGTCGACGCAACATCGACACACAATACCCGAAGGCATTGCCGGAACGCGCAGACGTGTGGTCTGTGAAGATGGATCTTAGGAAACAACTTGGGCTGGAACACGACGCCGATCGCGCTAATCAAATCCTCAACGATATCGCCTCTATGAGGATTTATGCGCACATCACCGATGGCGAGGGTTACAGGGCGCAAACCGAATTGCTGATGCTCGTTCACGAATCTCCGAATATGAAACACATCAAAATATCAACGTCCACCGAGAAGCCCAAAGTCGGCGAATACATGGTGTTCCACGTGCAGACCAACTTTTACATCGATGCCTTCAACTATCTCATCATGGCGAAAGGTACAATACTTCTGACTGGTGAGGACAACATGCAGCATAATGTAAAGACTTTTGCGATCCCTCTGAGTCCCGAGATGGCTCCGGTTGCGACGGCGGTGGTATATTATGTAGGTCGCTATGGCGAAGTCATTGCAGATTCTCTGACCTTCCCAGTAAACGGCATTTCGCGCAACAATTTCACCGTGTTCATCAACAACAAGAAGGCGAGGACGGGCGAGCGCGTCGAGGTAGCTATTTACGGTGAGCCCGGTGCCTACGTCGCTCTATCGGGTATCGATCGTTCGTTCTATACCATGCAAGCGGGCAACGAACTGTCGTACGCGAACGTGATCACAAAAATGGCTCACTTTGATGAAGATACCAATAGCACCCACACGCATACCTGGCAGTATCACGATGGCGATCCGGATGAGATGGTATACTTCCCGTCCTCCACTTTCGGTATCGACGTCAATCGTACGTTTGATTACATCGGGCTGGTAGTCTTCACAGATGCCGTGATACATCGGCGATACGAACTCTGCAACCGAACCCAAGGATTCGGCGAATGTCTGTCCGGTCGATGCTATAGGCTGGAGAAGAAATGTGACGGCGTGTTCGATTGCGAGGATGGCACGGACGAGGCGCGATGCGTCGAGCGTAATGCGACCGACTTGGCACAGTTCCGCAAGTGGCGTTTCAACCGAATTCAAAGGCACTACGAGAACGTATGGCTATGGAAGGATATCAACATCGGTCCGCACGGTCGTCAAATCTTTAATCTGGATGTGCCACGAAGACCGGTACATTGGATGGTTACCGCATTCAGCATGTCACCCAGCATCGGATTTGGCATGTTACCGAAAGCGTTAGAGTACACCGGAGTTCTGCCGTTTTATATAAACGTGGAGATGCCAACTCACAGCAGACAGGGCGAGCAAATCGGTATCCGCGTGTCCGTTTTTAATTATATGCGTTATAATATCGAGGCAACAGTGGTATTGGCAGGTTCCAGAGACTACAAATTTGTCCATGTCGAAGAGAATGGTATTGTGCAGTCGTACAAACCGCGGACCTCCTTCGGCGAGCACCAGTTCTTCATCTGGATCCCTGCTCAGGACGCCAGTATCGTTTATCTACCCATCGTTCCGGTACGACTCGGCGACATCAAGGTCCACGTCTATGCAACCACTCTAATCGGCAGAGACTCGGTGACTCGCAATCTGCATGTCGAGGCAGATGGATTGCCGCAGCATCGACATCAATCGATTTTGCTGGATCTCAGCAATCGCGCCTACGTATTCCAGTACATGCACGTGAACATCACCGAAACGCCGATCATCTCGTCGTACGATGAGAACCGTTACTACGTATTCGGATCGAATAAAGCAACCATTAGCTTGGTCGGCGACGTGGTGGGACCTATCTTCCCAACGATGCCGGTGAACGCGACGAGTCTTATGAATCTACCGATGGACTGCGCCGAGCAGAACATGTTCAGCTTTGCTGCCAACATGTACACCACTCTGTATATGCGCTTGATCAACCAACGCAATCGCACGCAAGAAAAGGAGAGCTTCTATTATATGAACATTGGATATCAGCGACAGTTGTCGTTTATGAATCCCGACGGATCTTTCAGCTTCTTCCGTACTGATTGGAATCAATCAATGCCGAGTGTCTGGCTAACAGCTTTCTGCGCACGTATCTTCCAAGAGGCCAGTTTCTACGAATGGGAGAACTACCTGTACATCGATCCTGAGGTGATCGCCCAGGCGGTCTCTTGGATATTAAAGCATCAGACACCAGAAGGCGCTTTCTACGAAGTGACGTGGCTGCCAGATCGAAAGATGAACAGCTCCTTGAATTATAGAAATGACATAATCGCCAATCGGAACATCAGTCTCACTGCTCATGTGCTCATCACATTGGAAAGTGTCAAGGATCTCACGGGCGGTCTAGGTTCTCAAGTGGCCTTAAGCGCGGCCAATGCCATCAGATGGTTGGAGAGGAATCTGAAGTTATTGGAGGAACGCGGCAAGCCTTATGAGATAGCGATAGTAGCCTATGCGCTGTTGGTGGCGAAAGCCTCGACTGCCGAGCAAGCTTTCAACATCCTGGCAAGACATGCGCGGAGAGAGGGCGGTTTGACGTACTGGGGTCGAGAAAAAGTACCACCTCCTCCATATAAAATGGAGAATCAAAAGCCTTTCTTGCTGCCGCGCTTACCCTACAAATACGACTCGGAGAACATAGAGACAACAGCATATGCACTACTCGTTCACGTCGCCCGACAGGAAATCATGATAGAGCCGATAGTGATGTGGTTAAACGCGCAAAGATTAACGGACGGAGGATGGGCCTCCACTCAGGATACTGTTTGGGCGATGAAGGCACTGATGGAATACACGGTGAGGTCAAGAATCAGGGACGTCAGTTCGCTCACGGTAACTGTAGAAGCTACCGCTTTGCCGGGGAAAGTCAGAACGTTGACTGTGAACGACAAGAATTTGGCGAAGCTACAAACTATCGAAGTATGCTACATTTTGAAATCTGTATATTTTGCGAGAAATATTGAAATGACGCTTTAATCGCACAATTATCATTTTTTTAGATTCCAGAAGCATGGGGAACCGTAAAAGTTCAGGCAAAGGGTGCGGGTTATGCTATTCTGCAGATGCATGTGCAGTATAATGTTGATATAAAAAAATTTCAAACACAACCACCGATTCGAGCCTTTGATCTAGTCACCAGAGCGAATTTCCATGGCAGAAATCAGTCTCACATTTCATATCTTAGTTGTCAGAGGTGAGAGCGACGTACAATTATAATAATATCTTGTCATTATCCTGATGCCTATAAAAACGCATTGCCTTTTCCACACAGATGGACGAATCTCGCCGAATCTGCGCGTTCCGGTATGGCTGTGTTGGATGTAGGCATACCAACAGGTTACATAATCCAACAGCAAACTTTGGACAGATATATTCGATCGAAGCAGGTGAGAAATCTTCAAAGAGCACGTTTCCAAGAGAAGAAAGTACTCTTCTACTTCGACTATCTGGATAGTGAAGAGACGTGCGTAAATTTCACGGTGGAACGTTGGTTTCCGGTTGCAAACATGTCGCGGTATCTCTCCATTCGCGTTTACGATTACTATTCGCCAGGTATTTATAAATATATAAATAAATTTTTTATGTTGCTTCTCGTTATTGCATATCATTTTAATACTACTCTCTTATTTCAGAACGTTTCAACGAATCTATATTTGATGCACTGCCTACGTATACTTTAAATATATGCGAGGTCTGTGGCAGTTCTCAGTGCCCCTACTGCCAAATTTACAATGCTGCTACGCTTTTAGCCACGCCAGCAGGTTTTCTGCTTATCGCATCGCTCGTCGTCACAATAACGAGGTACTTCCGAACGCAGCAATTTGGTGACGGTTAGCAATAACACAAAGGTAAAAGAAAGATATTCAATCCTTATCCATTTTCCATTGCCATGATCTGCCTCTGCTAATGGAGCACAAATATGGAACGGTACGATAATCAAGAACAAAGTACATGTCCACGAATCTCATTTCTAAAGATCTGAAAGGCCGATTTTATATAACTTTACAAAAAATGATACACATGCGCAATCATCATTATATGAAACAAGCTGTAAATGTTAATTTCTTTTTCCGGTGAAAGTAATTGCATTTAACAATTTTTACATGCAATTCTTATATTGAAAATCTTTGTTACACAATATATGTGTAACATGGATATATTTTATAATTACAAAAAAAAATTATGATTTTTCGTATATTTATTTTCGTATATTTGTAAACAATGTTTTAGATTACATTATCAAGAAATGAGAATATTTTATTACTTGCTCAAAAGCTTGTAATAAAATATTAATTAGCTGTATAATGCGTTCTTTGTACTTCTAATTTACATAAAACGCAAAAAACTAATTCCCATCCTAAGACTGTACAAAAATAATTATTTTTGAAAGTAATAACGCAATATCGCACATTTTATATGTTTATATTTTTGTATTGTTTAACGATTAGTGTTATCTATATATGCTATCCATCTTGTTTTTTTTTTCTAAATTTTAGAATGTATAAATTTTTTTACACGTTTAGGGCATCGTACTTTTGGAGGCAAAGCATCTGAAGTACAAATCAAGTGTAATAGTTGTAGCCTTTCATCAGCTGCGCTATCAATTACCAAAATAATTATGGCAAAAGTGTTCATAGTAACTAAACGAGTATACCGAAAAGAATATATTTATTTCAGACTTTTAATTCTTAATTTTTAATTTTTAAGCTAATTGCTTTTTTCAAATTTTTTTGTCAATAGTTTTCGCGATTTTAAAATCTTTTCTATTTCTTATTCTGTACTTGTGAAGTTATCATTCGCAGGTTGTGCCTTCGTAATGCTCATTGTCATTCTTGTCTTTAAAGCTAAACTCTTGTTTGATATTATTTCAATCCTCAAAGATAAAGAAAATGAACAATCAAAGAGATATACAAGACATTAAATGTGATTGGCAAAATGTGTACATAGTAGAGTAAGGAAAACAAATGGATTCCAGCGCGATTTACAAAATCGAGCGAATGCAATGATATCGTCCTGTTTATATATATATATATATATATATATATATATATATATATATATATATATATATAATAAAAATATATA